CTCATGGTTCATGGCTTAAAAGCTTAGGATTTTTGGTCTAAGGGCTAGAGTGTATGACTTAGAATGTATGGTTTAGGGTTGAGGGGTTAAAGGTTAGGGGTTAGGGTTTAGGGTTTAGTTTAAGATTTAGATTTGATATTTATGATTTATAATTTAGAGTTTATGGTTTATTTGATAAAGGTTTTAGTTTAGGGTTTAAGATTTAATATTTAGAGAGTAAGGATTAGGATATGAGAATTGATATTTTATTATTTTAAATATTTGATGTTATGATTTATGGACGGGAAATAATCTCTTGATCAAATTCAAAATCTAATAAAAATAATTAAACATCTTTATAATTTTGTATAGACACAGAAAAGTATGTTTTTAGACTTTTTTTTTACTGTTAATATGTTATTTTCTATTTATTAAAATGTGTCACGATATATTCCTTCACTTACGCCATTATTTAAAATTAAATTTGGATTTTCTAATATAAAAAAGTCGTCATATTTAATTATGAATTAAAAAAAAAAAAGTTATCACACTTTTAAAGGCTTCACATATTTTTGGGCCTTTATTCACTCTGACCATGACTCATTGCGGGTTTTCAAGCAAGAAGAAAACATATTTATCCATAGTTTTGAATTTTAAATCTCTACGTTAAAAGCAATTTGTTTAGATATGGAAGTTTAATAATTATTTAAATAAAACACATTAGAGTCATTTTAAAATTGATGGACATTGGACGTAGAAACAAAATTCGTAACATCTAAAAAATGCGTCATTAAATAATTGGAACTAAAGTTCTAAAAATGAATAAATTGAAAAAAAAAGTGTGTGTGTGTGAGAGAGAGAGAGAGAGAAAAAAAAAAAGAAAATAGATTTAGAAAGATATTAAGAATTTTTATTACTTTTAGATATATTTTTAAGTTTGATTAGAGATATAAAATCAACAAATTAATATGTTGTCACATCACGGGAATCATGTCAACTATTAATGTTAGATAATAATAAAAGATTACACTTCCCCTTCTTAAATAATACTGACACTATTTCTAGTTAATAAAAATAACACATATTTATATGATTTTTAAACATTTAACTTTAATGTATTTTTAATGTGACATTCATCTTATTTATACTTTTCATAAAGTGATACTTGTTTTTATTATTTTGTATAAAAATCACATATTTATTAGAATTTTAAAAACTATATATTTCATTTTTAAATAAAAACTATAAAAATTAATTTTAGGTGTATTTATTTGTTTTATTCATGCAGAAATATTGGCAGTTATGGTCGCTACTGAAGAAGCATATAACAGAGGATGACCTTATAATAGAGATAACTTGATTTGTGCATAGGGTGTGATTCAAAATTGTTCTTGGAGGTTTTTAATCATTTTGGTGTTATTTAAGAGAATAAGAAATAGATGGATGTCATCTATGACTAAGTCTTATATTATGAATTTTATAATTTCTAATTGTAAGATGAGACAATAAATGTGTTGAAAGGATTATTATATTAATCTAATTTTAAATAATAAATATAATTTTATACTTAGATTATTTAAATAGTTGTATTCAAGATTTGTTATACAAACAAAGCTTAATTGAATTTATGTTCAAATAATAATTTGTTAATTATCGGTTTTTATTATTTTTTAATAATCTTATATATATATATATATATATATGAGCATCATATTATTTCTTAAATTTATTATTTCACTTGTTAAATTATTTATCCTTAGAGATTTTACGCTTATAATATATGAGGTTATCAAATTATTCATGATAAAATGGGTATTGCTCAGTTGAACAACTAATTCGATATAAATTAAAGAATTATTAGTTTTATCTTATTTAAATTGTAAATCCGATATGTTAATAAGATAATTAAATTATTTATTTACTTTTTTTAAATCAAGTATTAAAAATTAAAAATATTATATTATAAAAAATATTATAATAATATTATTTAAATAATAATGCTTAATAAATTAAATTTAAATTATTAATTTTTATTAAATATTTTAATATATAAATATAATAATTTTATTATTTATTTGATAAATGATATTAATATATATATATATATATATATATATATATATATATATATATATATTCTTGCAAGATAAACTCATTTTTATCTTAATTTTTTAAGTATAAACATCTAAATAAATTTAAGTTATATAGAAAATTTTATTTTTCAACCAAATATTTATATCCATCTTAAGAATAAAAATGATAAAAATGATAGTAGAGTTTTTCTCTATTCATACTTCTCTTTAATTGTTTTCTCAAGCTAAATATTCTCAAGTGTTTCATACATTTTTTTAATTGTTTTCTCAAGCTAAATATTCTCACTTAAAAGAATTTTTATTATACCATCCTAATTTATTGTGTTAAATCTATTTTAATTCTTCTAAGCACAACATAATATTATAATAAAATCTATAATTTCACATAATAATGTTATCAAAATGAAAATTAGCACCCATAATAATTACTACTTTAAGTCACTTATCGTATCACTTTTTAAACCACTTATTTTCTAATAAAAAGGCAACTCAACTTTTCTTTCACTAGTTACTTTTCACTTTATACATGTAAATTAACGAAGATTTGGTAATACGAAACTTTGCTTCAGTTAGGTCACACGTTGATCACGTGAGAATTTAATAATTTTTAACTAACTTTAATATTTTAATTTAGTACACATTAATTACAAATGATAAAAAATTATCATTAGAAACAGGTACATGATTTTATCATTATAGTGTGACATAACGTGGCATGAGTGAGAACCCTATTATTAATATATTCTATTCGTCGTTTAAAAAATATATCTTCAATTTCATAACACCGAAGGGATCACACATTCGTTGTTAGTCTTATCCTCCATGTCATCCTTAGCTGGTAACTGAAAAGAAAATTATAATTTGTAATTTAAAAGCATATACTATTATTTTTTTATTCCAAAGCATTTTTAATTATTGACTCCTTAAAATGTTATTGGGATGCTTTTCATTTCATTACATTTTTTTTATGAATTTGTTTACATAAAAAAATTAAAAGTGTAAAAAAATATAATAATATATATTGCAACTAAATACTTTAATGATATCAAAATTTCTTTAACATGGAAATTGAATTCTATAGATGAAATTATAATTAGATTCAAGTGAAACTAAATTAATTTCAAAAATCGTATTTTTTAGAATGTAAACCATAACTTACTTATAAATGGAACGTGTGTTGTATTTATTGTTTTAATTATTGTGAGTAATTGGGATTAATTAATAAAATAGTCATAAACTTCACTTTCTGTTGTTTTCGTATTGTATGATTGGATTTGACAACAAAACATTCTCGACATGCTCTTATATTTTAAAAAGAAAAATTTGAAAATGTAAATTAAAATAATTATTATCCTGTTTGAAAACACAAATTATAAATTACGTAACTTATCTTAAATTAAAATATACTTAATAAATACTAACAATTAAATAAATTATTCAAATTATATTTTAATTAATAATTTCAATTTTTATCTTATATTAACATCTTTTTTTCTTTTTCAAGAATAGTTTATAAGTTATTTCAATTATTATAATTATCTGAATTTGGTAATTTTATAAACTCAAAATTGGTTATAATTGTTTAAAATTTCTTACCATTATTTTGATATTTTATTTATTAATTAAAAAAAAGTTATTTATTTATTTATAGTTGGACAAGAATAATATACTTTAGCAAGTTAAATAACAGACTATTTTGGTCATTTAACAACATTCAGTTTTTTTTTTTACGAAATTAATTTAAATTAAATTTATCATAAAAGTTATCCACAATATATTCAAATTTATTTTAATAAAAATTCATAAATTATTACAATAAATTTGCATGGTAAATATATATATATATATATATATATATATATATATATATATATATATTTAAATATTAGGTGAGAACCGGTGCACAAGGAACTAATTTCCTAATTTATTTCTTAACATGTACTAAAAAATGTGTTAGTTTGATAAACAATCTCCCAATTATCTTATTTTGGATAAAAAAATGCTATTTTAAAAAAAGTTCGAGAATCATCTACTTCATAGCATATTACCCACCTTCTTAATTATTGCAAGTACACTCGATGAGAACAACACTTTCAAAGAGAACAAAAAAGGACATGAAAAGATCACAACTTTTTTCATAACACCAATTTTAATGCGAGTTCGTGTGTAATGTAAATAAATAAATTCAAGTATATTCACCACTTACTTTTAAATATAATGTTAAAATTAAGTATCCCAAATAAGCAAACATCACAAAATTAACCCATTTAAATATAATGTTAAATTAAGTCTCATGATATAAACAAACATAAACCTAAAAAGATTAACCAATTTAAATCTAGTACTAACCTTGCAGTAAAAAAAAATAAAAATAATATGAACCTTCACCTAACACATAATAAGTAAGAAGGAAAGTTAATTTGAAGAACGTGTCATGCTAGTAAAATATATGGTATTTATAATATTTTTCATTAGGTTTTTCTAAAGAACGTGACATGTGTTTGACAAGAGAATATTCTTATTATTTTTGTACAAGTTTTACCTTTCTGCATCGAGAGTTGTGTTTGGGATGCGAAAACAGATTCTCAAAACGCGATTACGATGCGCTACGTGGCAGGAATTTATTGGAGGGAAATACATAGGCGAGGAAAGTTTCGTTGCGCTCCACGCCAGACAAGGCGTTATAAATTAACATCCTCTATCTATCTTGTTTATTTCTGGGTTCAAACCTTCGCTTCAGCTTCTTCGTCTTCCTAATCCTCTTCCTGCATTTTTCCCGCGTGTGTATGTGTGTATGTTCCCTGTAATACGCACATACATACACACATACGTATATTCATACGTACGTACATAAATACGTACGTCTGTCGAGTTTTCATATCCTTCTTCCTTCGCCGGTTCAATCCCTAGTTCTTCTCCGATCCGATCATGGCCTCTCTTATCAACAACGCTAACGGTGCCGTCAACGGTGTTGTTGGGAACGTCGAGAAGCTCATTATCGATACCGACCCTGGGATCGGTTAGTTAATCACGTTTCACACGGCTCTGCTTTTATGTTTTCGTTATTTATTACTATTTTAGAAAAAAAAAAAAACTCTGGCACCGCTTAAGAAATCCGAACCTCGAAGTTTCTGCACTGTTTATTTCCTTCCGTTGTAAGCAACTGGCGAAAAACTATGCGGAATTTGAGTTGAGAAATTGGAGTTTTAATTTGTTGTGTTTTGGATTTGAGATGTAGATGAGATAGTTTTCACGGTAATCAGTATGGGAAATTCCTTTTGTTGGTACTGGATGGTGAATTTTCGTTGGCTTTTGGATTTTTTTTATTATTTGTTTGTTTAGTGAAATAGCACTGACATTATTGTGATTCTGCAGATGATAGCATGGCCATTTTGATGGCTTTTCAAAGTCCTGAGGTGGAGGTTCTGGGTTTGACAACTGTCTTTGGTAATACAACTACCGAACTTTCCACACTCAACGCTTTACTATTGGTACGTGTTCATTCCCAAACTTTTTGTCTATTTGTTCGGATAAAATTTTTGGGAAATTTTCCGTGCTAAAATTATCTTGTACATTCAATCTTTGGAGAAGCTAAATGACAAATAAGTTCTATTAGACGCTAAATGCATACATTGATTTAACTTGTACGAGAACCTCAAGTATTTTTATCTTTTGATTTACTACTTTTTCCATACCGGTTTTTATGGAATAGTATTTTAATTTCTGTAGTGTTTGTTGAAAGGTGTTTTTGATTGTTTCTTTAATATGCAAAAAGGATAGTGTGAGATCGCAGGCCGTGAAAATCTTCCAGTTGCAGAGGGCAGCTCTGAACCATTGAAGGTATTTTAATATGTACTTTTGAGATTCTCTAATCTGGATTCATTCAAATTCAGTTTTAATTAAATTTGGGTTTTATTTTTTGCTAAGTCCCTTTAGTGAACTTCTCTTTTTACTGGTATTAATTATGATTTATTCTCTGTAAAAGGGTGGAACGCCTCGTGTTGCTGATTTTGTTCATGGTGAAGATGGACTAGGGAACACATTCCTACCCCCACCCAAAGGTAAGAAAATTGAGCTGAGTGCTTGTGAGTTTCTGGTGGAGAAGGTTTCTGAATATCCTGGTGAAGTATCTGTGCTAGCACTTGGACCACTAACAAATGTGGCTTTGGTAAGTTGTACATTGCTGTCCTGTACTCTATGGTGGTGCCCTTTCATAATTTCAGATTTTGTAGTTGCCTATATTTGTTGATTTGATTATGTCACTTCCATTATTAGGCAATCAAAAGAGATTCTTCGTTTGCAAGCAAAGTGAAGAGAATAGTTATACTTGGTGGTTCATTCTTTGCCTTGGGGAATGTGAACCCTGCTGCAGAAGCAAATGTAAGTGGTGATTTATGTTTATAAGAAAAAAAAAAAACGGACTAATTTGCTTTGGTCCATGCCATTTTTTATTTTGTAAGCTTTTTATGCTTGAAAAAAATATAGAGCAGAATCTTACAAATCCTACATTAATGCAATTATGGATCTGAATAATAATAGTATCATCAAGTTATCAGTTTAAAACTGAGCCTTAATTTCTTCTTAAACGTTTCCTGAAATTGTGTATTTCCTAATTTTGCATTATTTCCTCTACAATTTACACATAGTAATATAGTTTGCAAGCAATTAATGGACATAAATATCAATAAATGGACATAAAAGCTAGCAATCTGAGGGCATCTCAATAAATTATGACTTTTCTACTTGCAGATCTATGGAGACCCAGAAGCTGCAGATATTGTGTTTACCTGTGGAGCAAATATTGTCGTTGTTGGAATAAACATTACAACCCAAGTCCAATTTACAGGTGGGATTGTAATCCGAGTTTGTTCCAATTTCCGAGCTATCTTGAGCTATTTCCTATTATTCTAGGTAAGGCAACATAAGTTGAACATTTTCTTTTGATTTCAGATGCTGATCTTCTTCAACTGAAGGAATCTAAGGGAAAGTATGCTCCTTTCTTGAGTGACATATGCAAATTCTATAGGGACTGGCATGTAAAATCTGACTGTGTCCATGGTAATTTTTCTCTCTGCTTGGATGCCAGTTATGCTCCCCACATATATAGTAAACTTTTAACGTTGCCTTGGGAATGATGATTTGGCTTCTTTCAGGCATTTTCCTCCACGATCCCGTAAGTTTTGTGGCACTTGTGCGTCCAGATCTTTTTACGTTCAAGGAGGGGGTAGTGAGGGTAGAGACACAAGGCATCTGTGTTGGGCATACGCTTTTGGACCAAGGATTGAAAAAGTTTGTCCAAATTTAAAACTAGTATTTTTCACTCTTTTTATTTAGCTAATAGTAATATTGCGCTCAACATAATTGGATTCATTCATGCAGTTGGCCTTCGAGCAACCCATGGACGGGTTATTCTCCTGTTTCAGTTGCTTGGACTGTGAATGTCGAGGGAATTCTTGATTATATCAGGGAGCTGGTGATGAAACCCTGAAGTGAAGGCATTTCTACTACACTTCTCTCAGCTGTCAAGGCTTTGGAAACTTATAGCGCGATAGCTTTTGCAAAAATTATGTATAAGGTCATTTCCTTTATTTCATACAATGTCAATCAAAACTTTGAATATAAGGATTCACAATGTTTCCCATTTCCAATTTCAAATCGATGAATTCTTAGCCCATCTTATATAAAAAGCTTATTACCAATGAAATTCTCTTCACATCAAATTATTTGTGTTTCGATTTCGCTCTTTTTCTTTAAGAATTTACTTTTCCTACTTCTCAACTCTCATGCTGCTTCTTACTCTGCCATTATAGATTTTCGGTTTGAACATCGCAAAAGACTTCTTCGCTCGTGTGGCGAGTAAATTTCGTAATTCCATTACTATCTTAGTTCTGAATTCTCCTAAAAAGGCACGAAGATTCTAAAGAATTTGACCATTTGTTTTTGAAGTTAACATAATATTCGAATATCAGAATATACCCCTTATATAACAAAAAAAAATTCAAGTTTTATGATAATATAAAATTCCCTGGTCCGATATATCCAAATAAACACTTTTTTTTTCTTAAATTTCACGTTGAAGTATAAACTTTTAACCTACTTAAATTTTAAAAGTCTACCCCAAATGGGCAAGTTAACCTTAAATATTGGTGATTTTCAATGTCTTTTCACTTTCTTATCAACTAATCCCCTCATGGTTCATGGGGGCTCCAACGGATACAAGTGATAGGCAGTACACAAATAATGTTTAAGACACTAATTGAGACAGTATATTTGAACATGTTCGTTCATAAAAAATTAGAAAAAAATGACATTTTTTTCTATAAATAAAAAAATAAAAAATTGAAAATATGGAATTTTTACAAATTAGTTTATATATAAATTATATTTTTATGACAAAATTCATTTAGTTTTTGTCTTACTGTAATATTAATGCAATATATGAAGAATGTTACTGTGTTAAAAATAAATAAATCCAGAACAACATTCTTTGTAAAGTAGAAAATATTAGAAATATAGGTTGAGATCAAGAGGGGGTGAACTGTGATATAAACAAATATTTTTTTCAACTTTTGAATACAAATTATAAATTTCAAAGATTGAAGAATTCAATCAATTCTTGAACTAATAACCAACACTATATGAATGAAAAAATAGCAAGAACACTAAGTTTTATATTGGTTCACTTAATCCACTGGTGTTACATCAGTTCTAAACCAAATTTTAGTTGAGTTTCACTGATCAAAATTCGTTTGATTACAAGAACAAATTGCAAACAGACAATTTACACCAAGTTCTTGAAACCTATTATAACAACCAAAATTCCAACTACTAAACTAGTGCCCAATCTTCCAAACACCGAAAATACAATGAATCAAAAGAGAATTGAGAAACTAGAAGAAACTACGACAATCAATGCAGTATGCAAATGTAAAGATCCAACTACAAAATGAGTTTCTTCAAAAAATAAGAACAAAAGATCCAACCACACAACGAGTTTCTTCAAAAAACAAAAACAAAGAGCATCAAGAAAGATGCTAAAGAATTCTAATGACAAGAGTAAGTTTCTCTCTTGGAAAAGATTTCTAAAGATTGCTTGATTGATTTCTCAAAGATGTTTTTTTGAAACATTGGAGAAAATATGTTTATATAGAGATTTTTCTAACTAACTAATGTGATTAATCAATTAATTTGTTATTTAATCGATTAAAACAACTTAGTTGAAATGAAATTACCTAATGAAAATTCATTTTAATCGATTAAAAGATTCTACCAATTTTTTCTAAGACATTTTTATCGATAAAAACAAATTTTAATCAATTAAAATAATTCGAAAAATTTTCGAAGCGTTTTAACCGATAAAAATGAAATTTAATCGATTAAAACTATGATACAAAAAGTGTTTAAGTATTTTTAATCGATTAATTTAAAGTTATATCGATTAAAATTACTGCAGTAAGTTTTCTAAAACTTCTTAAGTGAGTTTAATCGATTATTTCGAAGATATATCGGTTAAATTTCTGACAAAAGGGTTTCTAAAACTTCTTAAGTGATTTTTAATCGATTATTTCAAAAATATATCAGTTAAAATTCGACGTAAGGTTTTCTCAAACTTTTTAAGTGAAATTAATCGATTAATTCGAAGATATATAAATTAAAACTGCGACACAAAATATTTTCACTTTGTTTAAGTGGTTTTGATCGATTATTTTGAAGATGTATCAATTAAAATTGCGACATAAAGTGTTTTCAAGTTTCTTAAGTGATTTTAATTGATTATTTAAAAAACTTATCAGTTAAAACTGTGACTGAAGAACATATTAATTGATTAAAATAATTTTTAACAAATTAAAAATACTTGAGACACTTTATACTCCTGTAAAATATAGAAACCCATGTTATAGGAAAGGATGGATGTTTATACCTACTCAAGGTAGATGCAGACTCATTAATGGACTAACATAAAATCTCTTATTTTTTACATCTTTTGACTTCATCAAATCTTCAAGACTTCCAACATTCTTATTTCTTCATCAGTCTCCCCTTATTTGATGAAGACAAAGAACACCTTGAATCTTGCATGAAAACCACTTAGATGTTTTTGTTAGATGTAGTCAATGTTAGTGAGCTTTTTCAATTCTTCTCCCCCTTTTCACTTCATCAAAATGGAGCAAATAATAATGAAGCTAAAAAGAAACATCATGCATTTAGTTTGAGAGTTTAAGATTCTTGGTCATAAGCCAGTTTTAATATTACAGTCCAGACAAAATAGAAAAACATAAAAAAATAAAGCACAGTGGTTAAGAAACACCCTTTGTAGAAATTTAATCATCTTATGATCCTTGATTGAACTGTAAATCTTCCAGTTTAGTGTAAATATCTGCAATTTGATTGCTAAGATTTGAGAATTGGTTGTTAGTCTCATGATAGTGCTGAAAGGTCATCTGCATATGCTTCCTTTGATTTTCCTATAAAGGAGACATTTGGGACAACATAGATATTTCAAATTGAGATAATGGAGTCCCCCGATCAAGTTGTTCATAGTAAGGAGTTAGCTCCATGTTTTGGAACTCCTCAACCATGTTTTCAGCTTCAACTGCCTCATGTTGAGCTTGCTCTGCAGCATGAGAAGACTCAATTCCAGCATTCTCTTGTTGTTCTTCCTCGTCATCATCATCTTCACTCATACTGGCTTCAGATTTGGAAATCCAGCTTCCATCCACTTGTATGAAGCCCATCTTGTGTAGAGTGGAGTCATTTATTTCATTGGAGAATTTTGGTGCCTCCATGTATTCTCCTGTCAAATATACTATAAAATACTTCAAAAAATTTGTTAATTAGCATAGCATAAAGAAGACGAAAATCACTCAATCTTTTGGCCTTAATCATGTGATCTTTGATGACATAAAACCAATTGACTCTAATGTTATTTTGAATGCAGTACATCAGAATCAAATCTCCTTCATTCAGAAGAGCATCGTTGCTCATCCTGGGTGTTAACACCCAAGCACTGATGAATGCAATGTCTTCTCTATTCCAGATGCATCTTCCCAACATTCAACACTCTAACCGAATCATCACTGTTTCTAAGACATGACCGAAAGAACTGGATTTTTTTGAAATCAGGCAGCTCCGAAACGTTACCTTTGGAGACTTTCACTCCTTCATCACAAAACCAACAACTTGTTCTCACATAGATGGAGTAATTACCATGTTTACCCCTTTTACCTAAGACCGAATTGTAAAACCATCTACGGTCAAATTAGAGTAGAAGACTCTGACCAAATCTGGCTATATTGCCCAGATATTCGACAAAAGTCTTCAACTTATAGTTCTTTAGTTGTCTCAGAGAATTAAATCCTTCTTTGTCTAGCCAAGAAAATTAAATAAACATTGGAATTACCAGTTGCTTTTGACTAAAATAAGTAATAAACACGGTCATTATATCTAGATCACCATTAAACCACGCTTCTAAGTGACCTCCAAGATTTGGAGCAGCAAAGGAGGATTCACCCTTATTTTTCTTTCTACCCGATTTAGATCTTTTTTTTTTTTTTTTTTCGAGAAGATGAGTATAAGAGATTTGAGTGATAAACAGAAGTAGATGAAGAATAATTTGGAGATTGAAGAAGAGAACGAGTTAAGATTTGAGAAATAGAATCAGGATTCTTGTAAGGAGAAAAACAGAGTCTGAATTCAAGGAAAGTGATTGAGTCCATGATTCAGTCAACATATTGCTTCAATGCTTCTACAGTTGGATGAATAAGCTTTTTGAATTGTAGTGGTTCTTTTGACCAGTAACAAACGTACTGACCTTGCACAGTGGGTAATAGATATTTTTCTTGTGATGTAAAATAAATTAAGGTGAAAATTTTTAAGAAAATAAGGTGCATAATTTTAAGTAATAAAGTAAGCAAACCCAAGGAAAATTCCCGCTGAACATTAAGATAGTTGTCTATCTAGATGTAAATGTTCATTTCCAAGGATTGTGGAGGGAGGAGAGAATAAATGAAACTAAAAAAGAATAAAGACAATGGCTAGAAAAATGGACCAACCCCTTAGATAAATAAATGGAGTGAAGAAATAAAGAAGAAAAGATGAAGAGAAGAGAAGTATGGTGGTTGTGAACGTGTTCAATTAGCCACTAGACACCTTTGTCATTACAAGCCAAATATTGTCACATATAAAAGTTATCTACATAATTCTCTATTATCTTTGCACCATTTTCTAAAATCGGAGAAGGATCAAAAGACATCCAAGGTCAACGCTGGCTCAAATGAAAACAACCAGTAAACACCCCAAGACTACAGGCGGAACTTATTGAAATTTGGAGCAGTTTCTTAACATGGGACATACTCATATCTGGTCTTCAATCAAAAGACATACAATTTTTCCTATATATTCGTCAGCATTTTTCTCGACTATTCGATTTGATTCAAACCTTTCTTACTTCTCCATTTCATAAGTTGATTCCTCGAAATGTTACTTATA